TGAAACATGGAACCATACACCGCCATATGCTATGTCTTTTGTGCATTTGGTGAGTAGTGGAGCAGGCCCCACTGGACGTATTCGTAAGAAAACAAAAACAAAAAAACGAGAAAGCCACGGGCATCTTCATCCTAACCCATAACTGCCTACATGCGGACCTGAACGGCAATCTTCAGCATATATTGGTGGTCGGCTGGCAATAGAACATCCAATTTGCGACTTCTGCGAAGCTTCGCGGGGCATGTCGTTATTAGGCAACTACCCCTTCTTGCGAACTGACCCCACTACTGTGTGGGATTTGCAGAAGGCAGCGGGAAGGACAGCTCTCATACCCCGCCTAAAACAAAAGTTGGAATAAGCTCTATTTTGTGACTCGCCATTCGAAACTTTTTGGGGAAGGGCCTGCGCAAATCGAAAATTCAGCAGCCCTTACCCAAAAGAAAAGTTCGGGCCGTGGGCGTGGCCGCCGAGTTGGGGGCCCTAAGAAATTAGAAAACCCCTACTTTTTTTGTTTTTTTTTGGACCTAATTTTTCAAGTGCGCTGCGCTTCGGTGCGCGGCGCGGTGCGCGGCGCGACGTGCGCAAACCGTGCGCAAACCGGCGCACCGACGTGCGCCGCAACTATGGTGGTTAGCATTCATTCTGAGCCAGGAGCGAACTCTCTTTTCTATATTTATTATGGCTTAACTTCTGAAATGTAGGAAAATGGGCGGTTTTGTGTTCATTAGTGTATCTGTGCTATCAGTTTTCGCTCTTATCGCCATTAATTTTTTTGAGACTCCAGTCCTTGGGAGGGAAATATTCATGGGAGGTTTCGATGGGGAGGTTGATTTTCTTTCTTGCTTTTTTTTCACAAAAATAAAAGGGAAACTGCCTTGGGATCTCTTCATTGATTAGACCGGCCCTAGGTAATTCAGAATGATTTATTCCATCCATCAAGGTCTCGAGCAGGATTTGAACTCGGGTCTGTATTTCAACAGTTCATGGGTGTACCAACTGAGCTAGGCTTGCTGGTGATCCGTTTCAAGTCTTTTAACCGTACACACGGGCTTGCTCTCTTTTGAAAGGCCTTCCACAATTCAGACCCCAAATTCGGGTCTCAGGGTCAGAGGCCTGGTCAAGAGAGGCCAAGTTCGTCAAATTCAGAAAAGTCACAGTCGGGTACCTCAGGAGTCCGGTCGTACAGGCATCCAGCAAACAGTCACATCTTAGGGGCAAGAGTCACGTCTCACAATGAAAAGTCGTATTCAAGAGTCACATCCCACCATTAAAAGGGCAGTTCCACAGGCAAAAGTTGTGTCCGAGAGGCAGGAGACACAGTCCACTGTCAAAAGTCAAAGGCCCAAGCAGCAGCAGACCAATGGAAATTCGGGAAGGTTCCAGGCCTTGACATTCAGAAGCAGACAGGACGTGGGGATGTGGTACTGGAACCAGTCAGGCCCCAGAAAGCAGAGGCTGGCACGAGTTGAAGTGCATTCCAAGACTACAAAAGGACTGGCCAGCCTACCATTCGGGCAGATTGCTCATTCGCAAGAAGTGTGGAAGTGCTGGTGCACTTGTGCGCTGTAGTGAGGGGCAGAGCGCTGAGGCCAGAGTGCTGCGCTAGAGAGAGAGTGAGAGAGAGGAAGACATTGCGCTGGCAGGGAGAAGGCAGCCATAGCTGCGCCAGTGCAGAGTGTTAGTAGTAGACTTCAGATAGTCAGTAGGCATATCAGTGGGTGTATTCAGAGTAGGTCCGTGAGTAGTAGATGTGTGAGTGCATGTAAGTAGGGAGAGAAGACACAGTGAGGTGGTATAGACAGAGAGAAGATCAAGATAGAGAGAAGACAGAAGAGTTTTGGAAGAGAGACATACCTGAGTGAAGATACGGGATACTTGGGTTGCGCTGTTGAGCGCTGGTGATTGAAACTCTTCATTGCTCATATGATAATTTGTTGAGATTATAAGCTGCGCTACCTGGTCTTCATCTTTCTGGTCTCCAGTGTGGAAATTTGTGTGATCTCATACATGCATGTGGTGTGATTGTGTGCGCTCACTGGTGTTGAACTAAGAGGTTCATTGCACTTTTGCGTTCTTCAGCTTAGACAAGAGGCAGCAATCACGCAGAAGCTGTTGATGGAGGACAGCGACCATGTGTTCGATAGTGTTTTCATGACACCTGTCGATTTCCCATCGAAATTTGACTACTGGGTCAGGTAAACCAATTGCTTCATTCTTTTGCCTTGTCTTTTTTTTTTTTCATTACGTAATTAAAAAAGAAACCTTTTATGCAATTCTTGTCACTTCGGTGACTTCGCCATATTTTGTGTTTTGCTCAGTCCGAACTAGTTTACGTTTGCATATCCTTTTGATTTGTTTAGGCAAAATCATTTTTGGTTCACCAAACACTTTTTTTGCTGGGCCCGCGTCACCTTGTTTGACCGGGCCGCCCGGCAGTGCGAGGACCAGTGAAGGGCCCAGCAAAAAAAAAAAAAAAAAATCCCAGAAAAATTAAAAAGAAAACAAAAATCTGAAAAGAAAACAAAACCCAAAAAAAATCAATAAAAAAAATCTGAAAAAAAAACAAAACAAAAAAAAATAAAAAACATCTGGAAAAAGAACTATGTAATGCACAAAAATAAACTGAACAACTTTTGCCTCAGGGTCACATCGAAATTCTTTACCGAATTTGGAAAAAAAAAAAACTTATCTATTCATTTTTTGCCTGGCCGGGCAACTTGCCCCAGGCCACTCTGGTATCATAGATTCATCTCCAATTTTCCTTTTCTCTTCCAGTTCACGTCTCAAACGAATGAATCGAGTTTTCAGCCCCGTTTCAGCCCACCACCATGTTATCTTGTATTTGTTTGGCTGAACATTGTAAAACACTCAAACATGTATTGAGATAGAGTACGGACAAGCTGTGGAGGGGGATGACTCACATGGCATTGGGAGGGGCATGAAAATGGACACTCCGGAAATTGACTGTCGCTTGTCGCCAAGCATGGTACCAGCTGCAGAAAGTGATGAAGTACTGTAGTGAAGAGCACAGTATCTGGATTCATGCATGCATGAACACAGTAAGTCGTCGCTTAAAAGAAATCGTTTCGAAGAAAGAAGCAACAGCTTCATCAATTACAAACAATCGCTTCATCAATTACAAAACAACAGCTTCATCAAAGTTCAACCCATGAGCTCAACGTTGGGACCGAATTGTGAAGCATTTGACTCATGCTGAAACAAACTCTCCTGTGAAAACCGCGTTGTCCTCTACCAAACCTATGAAGAGCGCTTTTGCGCCCCTAGAGCCTATGCTTTCTGCTGGTCCAGCACCTGGCGTCATCAGGGGGGCTAACAAAGAGGCGGAGTTTCAATCGTTGCCACCCTGTTTTACCGTAACTCGCGGCGTTATTCACATGGCAGTCAAGAGGTCTGTCAAGAGAAAAGATTCCCCCCAACCATCTCAGCTTCGAAACACTGCTGGAATAGCATTGAAGGCCCAAGGCCCAAGGTTGCACTGGTTCTGCGCTGTTTTGGGGATTCACGAGGGAGATTGGTGGGTGCTCCAACAGAGGTGTAGTTTGAGCGAGTTGCAAATGAAGTGCATTTTCAAAGGTGAAAGTCGTTACCTGCCTTTGGATTCTTTGGGATCCATGCATGCGGTGTGTTCTTTATCAGTGTTGGGAGAGGTGCTGCAGACGCGAGCTGCTAATGAGGTGTATCAAATAGGACAGCAAAGAGGGCGGTAGGGAGGGGGTTCATCACTGTCTTGGGGATTCATGAGGGAGATTCGTGGGTGGGATCCCCTTTTTTCTGCTGGGGGAGGTGTAGTGCGAGGGAGTTGCTAATGAAGTGCATTTTTAAAGGTGAAAGTTGTTACCCCCGTTCCATCCCATCCCCCGCCCCTCAGACAAAGAAAAAAGCGCATATTGTTTTGTTCGTGGGATCCATGCATGCAGTGTTTCTTTATCGGTGTTGGAAGCAGTGTTGGAGATGCGAGTTGCTAATGACATGCACCAAATAGAACAGCAAAGGGGTCAGTGGGGATGGGGTTCAGCCAATGGCGAAAAGACAGTAGCTTCAAGGCAGGAAAGACAGAGTTCCAGCTATAAGGAATGTACCAAGGATGACTAGCTTCAAGGCAGGAAAGACAGAGTTCCAGCTATAAGGAATGTACCAAGGATGACTAGCGAATAGGGTGGTTCTTCTAAAAACCAAAAAAAAAAGTTCAAAGTTCTTAACCT